AAGTGGATACTGTAAAGATAACTGACCAGGTAACTGAATGAGCCGACTTTGAGACCCCCCAAAAAAACACCTGTCAGTCAAGAAAGTACAGTAGTATCTAGAGCAAGTGTTTGGTTTGTCCATTCTGGGCTACCGTAGAAACACGGTGGTTCAACATAGCGGCTGGTAAAAGTGGTAAATGTCCGCTAACATGATAACTGTATATGTTGCCACAGAGCAGGAGCTGTACTACAGTTCATCTTCAGGCACTGAGCATTGGATTCAGATTGGAAGCAACATGAGACAAGACGCAATAATCATCTTTTAATTCATAAAGATACAAAAAATAAAAATGTTAGCCTCAAAGGAAGGAGTTTTAACACTCAGAAATGAGTTACATGTTAGCACCTCTGGTTCCCTCACCACCTTTTTGAAGGGTTTTTTTGTTAGATGGCTGAAATAAAGTCTGTTATTAATTTTATTCTATTATTCTACGACATAAAACACATCAGTAAATACCTCGCCTGTGGACGAGACTACAGAGGTTTTTACATCTTTGTTGTGTTTATGGTTGCTCTCTTGCTCCAACTTTTAGTTTTTAAATACAAGATTAGAAGTTGGAAGTTTAGTCGTGGTGACGTTAAAGTCATGCGACTGTGGTGTAGTTTGTTTATAGCCTAACGTTAGCTTTTTACTCCTGGCGATCGCATTTACGCTGCAACAATCATAAAGGTGGTAAAACCTGTAAGTATCATAAAGACTCATTTTCTGTAATAATCCAAAAGCTTTTTGTCGAAGGAAAACATAAAATACACAAAGATACATCATTCCTGCTGCACTCTGCAAGGAAACTATTTCAAAATTACAGATAAAAAGATGATGGAGCAGAGCATTAACTGATGAATCAGAGGGTTATCTTAACACTGTGGTACGTCAGAGTCGGGGGCCTGACGGGTGGGAAAACACCGGGGTGATTTCAGCGGACAGGAATGTTGGCAGGGTGTGCGTTTCGACAGGACAGCTGGTTGTCACTCTCCGGGTGTGGGCCCGGTGGGGTATTACTGACAGGGACGTCGATTGCAATTCAACTTTCCATTCGGAGATTTGAGACTCGGACTGGCCGGAAAACAAGATTCCTGAGCGATTAGGGGACAGATATTTATTCAGATATCCGCCTTCATAGTGTGAGCGTGTGACGTCATAAAAAAAAAAAAAAAAAAAAGGATACTGTTCTTGTTTTGTCAGCTAGTCCACTACATCCCCGACTGTGGCTCATCTGCAGTATTTTGGGACAGAGGCTCCAAAGAGCCACAGCTCAGTCCCGAATAACACACCCCAAAAATACACGTGCCCTTTGGAGGACCTGCTGTTATAAAAGCGGGTCATGAGCAGAAGAGGGCTGAGATGGCGGGCGGGTTGTGGGGGGGAGGTAGGGAAGGGTGTAATGTGTGCGCCGGTTTGGGCCAATGTAAGGATATCATCCTCCAATTAATTTGAATATTCATCACTCGTCTGCGGTTTAAAAATAATGATATGATACGGCTGTTCTCTGGGGTTAGAGGTTAAATATATATTGGACTGCAGAACCCTCAAATCCAAGTTGGGGCCCCCTCGACACAATCCTAAATCCTCTCAACTCACATGGAGGTTTTTTATGGATCAGGACAGCTCAGTTCATAAGCAGGTCTGATCTCTTTGAAGGGTTATTTTTTCTGCACACACTGGCTGGATGATGCAGTGGTGATATTTTGTGCATCCACTCACTGTTTGAACTCCTTGACGTAGGCACAACTTTGTGAATGAGAGGTTTTTGTGTGAAGCTAAACTAACCTAGAAAGGAGGTTTGGGCAGAGTCGAGTGTGCCGGTTACGAGCTAAACGCTGAACTCCGTGCCCTCCTCCAAACACAAAGGTAGAGCTGCTGAGGTTCCTTGGCATGGTGGGGTATAAACAAGTCCTACAGCAAGTAGAGCTGCAGTCGATTAATTGATTAGTTGTTAAGTATTGAGTCAAGAAAAAGTCCCTGTGGTTTCTTTAGTCCTCTGTGACAGTGAACTGAATGTCTTTGGGTTACATCTAGGATAACACAGCAGATAATAAAAGGTTAATCACATTATATAAATCATAATAATGATCCAGTGTTTCATGATATTGGTGATATAGATTGGTATTAGTTACTGGATCGGTGCCTCTACGAGTGAAGTTGTGCATCGTACTGAGCTGTTACACATTATTACTCCAGGATTATCTTACCATTATTTGTGTTCAAGTAAAGTACAACATCACACAATCAAATAAGGCTTGTGATGATTCGTGCACAGCTTTAAAACACCTTCTTCTACAGACAAACCCATCCAAGGATCTCCCTCTTTTGTGGTAATATCCTGTAAACTGTATTTTATCTGTAGAGAAACAGAAGTAGTACTCACATTCATTTCAGTGTGTCTCTTTGCTCTCCATGGAGGAGGGGCTGGGGTGTTGCTGGGAGCAGCAGCAGCAGCAGCATGGGTTGATCCTCCACTTGACCCAGATGGATCAGAGTATGTGGAAGTGGACTGACTTGACTGGCTGCTTTCTGATCTTCCAGAGCTAACCAGCCCTCTCTGGTCTTCCTGGGTCTTGGACTGTATCTGTGCATGTCCGTTCTCTACAGCATCCTCCACATTCTTCCCCTGCACTTCAGCAGGGCTCCTCTCGATCTTCACCCCGGCGAGACCCTCCACCAGGCGGCTGAGAGCCTCCAGCTTCGCCCTGAGCTGCAGGTTCTCCTCCTGCAGCCTGGTCACCGCACCGGCCAAGGGTCCATTGGAAATGCACAGCTCCTCGATCCTCTGCTCTATGTGCTGCTTGAAAGCGCTCACGTCCACGTGAACCTCCCTGACGGCGGCTTGCAATGTGGCCTTGAACTGGACCAGAGCCTCGCTCACCATCGCCTCCTGAGAGCTCTCTCTGGCTACATCCATGACTTCTTCCTGGACCCTCGCCACCCCCTTGAGATTCAAGTGAAATGAGTAACGGGGTGATCAGAACGGAGCTCAGAAACAAAACCTTCGATCTTCCTTGTGTTTGTCAGTTCGTTCTCTGATCCTTACAGTGAAATGAAGGGTTTGAGTTCTTGACCAAACTGTTTCCTTCCTTCTGAGGAAGCGATCAAAGACGTTCCATGCCGCCTTTTCCCGAGCAAAGTCGAAGATGCAAAATGATTTTTAAAGGATGACCGGTGTTGCTGGAAGGTTCCTTCCTTGGCAGCAACTCATTAAAGTCCCATCAAGCTCCATGGAGGACTTCTCTCAATGTGCGTATTCTCTTACTCTCCCCTCTCATCTGGTCAAAGTAAGAGCGGTTGTTTATTTATAAGTCATGGAAAACTCATGCACAATGTCATCTTCGGAAAAGAGATTACGTACTGAACGGGCAGATCAGGTTCTCGTTGCATGCGGGAGCCGGTGGGAATGATCAAACTAACCTTTCGAACGGATCCAGTTGAAGTGGCAGGGTATTTTGTTGCGTCTTCCTTGGTAGCGCATCTAGCGTGCGTTTCCTCGATGTTTACCCCCTGCTGCCCCAGCACAGTGTGTTGTCTGCTGAGCTATCTGTGGCTCCTAAACTTGGGAGCAACAGGTTCGCCTCAGTATTTCGGGACACAAAAGGGGGGCGGGAAAAGATCAAATGGGGAGGAGGGGCCTGGATCATTCACATGTTTCTGTCTCTGTGGTATTGGTTGCAAGGTTTTCTATGTCAGGTTTATTCTGAAAGGGACTTAAAATACGAGGAAATAATCTAAAAAGTCCACTCCCTATATTAAAGACACATTAAGGCCCAAAGTTTAAGTACAGAAGATTTTCAATTTGAGTTTTTTTTTTTTGAGTATTAGTAGCATTTTAACAGTTTATTAGTTGAGATTCATCAAAGTTTGTTTATGTTTTAAACACAAAAAAACCCATCTTGTTATGGTAAAGTTAATGAATTTTCACACTTACTCTATTAATCTGTTTAAATATCCACACATTGAAGTAAAACAGAAATAATCTGTATCCAAATAATGTGTTACCTAATAAATCTAATGCTCTTAAAACCTCAGATTAAGAAAATTAAGCACGTCACATTTTAATTAGTAATAGGATACAGAAATATCTATTTTTCACCGAACTAAATCTCACACTTTCTGTATTTCTGTACTTATGTATTGACTGGATTGACAAATTAATCTTTTAATTTACCTTTAAGTTACAGAAACTTGAATTTTCTTCACCTTACACTTTAAAATACGTATTTTCCAGCACTGAAACACTTTTTCCTTCTGATTTCATGTTGGCGATCCCAGAAAAAACTGATATATAGTATATAAATGGATGAATGTATAAACCAACAACATAAACTTTAAATCCTCATCAGTCACCTGCAATGGTGGATTTTCACTGTAGTTTCATCCTGTTAAAGAGGCTGATGAAGAGGAGGTCAAATTATTAGGGCCGAGCACTGAAAGTGTGAAGGCCCTATTGTAATTGAAGCAATTCTTCTTTTTCTTTTTCCTCCCAAACAAACGCATATTTGAACAAAATCCTCCTAGGAAATTGATCGGAACAAATTCAGATTTGGACACAGCCATCTAAAGACATTCATGATTAAAAGTTGTGCTATTTACGACATTCCCTCAAAAAGCACACACCCCCCCCCCCCCCCCACAAACCCCCCCCAAAATTTAATTTAAAAATTACAATATAAAAAAAAAAATATTTTTTATAAAAACCCCCCCCCCAACACCTTAAATATTCAGATAGTGATAGCGCCACCTACTGGAAATCTGCTAGTGGCAACTTGTGGCTGTTATTTGGAAGCTTTGCACGTTTGAACGCGTGGCGATGGCGTCGGCGTGCGGCGTGGGGCGTGGGCGCGGCGTGGCGTGGCTGCAGCTGCAGCGGGAGACCACCGCGCAGGCCCCGATGTGAGTTGATGGCGAGGTCCCACCCAACGCTGCTTGCAGCTTTAATTTGTATTATGTTTGGGTCCACACAAGAATGATAACATGTATGAAATATTTTTATTTTTCACTTTTTCAACATTAACATTTTGAAAATATTTTGAAAACATTTAGAAAACTGGAAAAGAATCAATATTGCAAAATTACACAACAGCAATAGAACAATGTCAATATCCATTTTGTGTGTGTGTGTGTGATATTTCAGATTCTTGTCAGATTTCAGATTCTTCATCCTCCTAATACTCATCATCCTCCACTTCATCCAGCATTTCCAAGAACATTTCAACTGCAGCCATAACAGCTTGGATGAGAAAACATAAAAGGAAGAGAATGTTTTGAATGACAAGCAAACCTTTTGATCAATATGTAGCTAGATAAATAAATGCGCGCACGCCACACACACACACACACACACACACACACACACACACACACACACAGTAATGTTAGCCAGCTTGGTTACCTAGATAGTTTCACAAACTATAAAATAGGCAAATTTGATGATAGATGGTAAGAAACACATACTCTTTCACACAGTAGTCATGAATGACACGCACAAACATTTGAGGTAAAATAATAAAGATAATACTTACATATATCCTAATCTAATAATCTTCTTAAGGGGTGACACTTATGATATAGTCCACAAAATATATATTCCTGACAGTCACAGTTGATAAGAATCAAAGGTTCCCATGAAATCCCATAGGAAATGAACGTGAATTAATTTTTGACCCACTTATGAAAGCTACAATTTCGAAAAATTTATAAATGGTAAGTAAAAAATTTTAATGGCATGATATCAATAACATTTTTTTTGTGGAATAGCTGCAAGAAAATGACCTCAACCGGGTCATTTTTGACCTACTTATGCATCTAAGGGTTAGGAATGCCAGGTTTGTGCAGGATGTCCTGTGTTATGCAATTTGATGATTCTGTTTGACTAATCTGGTCTGCGGTGTTTTCATGTTATCTTTAAGTATCAGACCGGCGTGATACCAAAAAAAACCAAACCTGGTAACAGTTATTACCCACAATGGAAAACCCAAAAAGAAAAGTTTTCCAACTGGCCACTGTCAGTCCAGGAATTGTGATTGCTAATATATTTGCGTATGCCTGTTGAATGTTTAATGTGGAATGGAAAATAAATGTCTACATTAAACAAATGTTAAGAACTGTATCAGACTGAATCTTATCGCATCAAAATTAAAATTATTTCATATCAAAAATGCATTGTCCCTGAATCGTAGTCCATGTATCTAGATGAGATAGGAGGGATGCACATCTCTATTTTTTGGCTATAATGATGCAAATGTACCTTCAGAGGCAGCGTCTTCATCATCGTCATCCACTGAAACAGAGAGAAATAATGTTTTCATTTGATTGATACCATCTGCATCACAATTTACATGTGTCCCTCTCAGACTCAAAACTCTTTCAAATCTAAATACGCAGATGTCATACACATACTAAAGAACTCAGCATGACCTTGTCTCATCTCTCGTGTCCACTGAGGCTATTTGTTGTGTGTAATGTCCCTCTAAATAACCTTAATATTCAATTATAGACATTTTTAAGCACCAACTTATTGTTGTTTATACCACCATGGAAACCTGAACTTCTGGTAACTATTGTAGCAGGACCTTTCTGGTGCTGCTAAGCTTAAACAATATCAAAGCATTAAAGAGTAAGTGTAATGTAATCTGCATGATTTTAAAAAAAAGAAAGCTTTAGGACAAAACAAGCACAAGTCAAAGTGACAGACTGCTACGACATCATGTTGTTCTTGTTCCTCTCTTCCTGTCACTGACCTTTTGCTTCCAAACTCTGCAGTAGATCGTTCCTGTTGATCTTCTTTAAAACCTTCTTCGTCACCTTCACAGCTCCAGGAAGTGTGTAGGTCTGGACCATCAGATCGAGTGTGTCCAACGTCCTGGCATTCTCCAGCTTGCTCCATGGGATAGTTGAGTCTTTATGTTGTTTACCCTTCAGGAACCACTTGAAGCGCTTAAATTCATCTTCTCCGAGGTTGTCCAGAGTGCTCAAGAGGACCTTCTTTGTCATTTTGTCTCCCTGGTAAAATCAGAGAATATTGTTAACCTGCAGGACAGTTTCCTGTCTGTCTGTATTTCTACCATTACAGTATATATAGTGGACCGAGCTTTTGGGTCTGTGAATCGAATTAACAACCAGTAGGGGGCAGCTCTGATAGTATTGAGTCTTATGGAGAAGTTGATTTATGAGCTCAGTAAACAGTTTCCAAATTAGTTTGTGGCCTCAATCAATAATTTCAGTCTTCTTCCATACAGCATGATGTTTATTTAGTAAATTATGGTCCCATTTAGGGACAGTGAGTCCGTCCAGCTCAACGCACCAAACTCAGATCAAACTGTCAAACTAGTCAGTGTTGACTATTTCTCTCCTCAAATCTTTTCACAAACATATTTAAATGTACTGTTTATCTGGAATACGGGAACGTATGTGACCAGGCTAGCCGCCATTGTTTCATGCTACAGATAAGTCGAAACCAAGAGCAGCCAATGAGAGCAGCTCATCTTGCAGTACATCATCTCTACTGACTGCAAAAGCCCGACCGTAATGCTGAACTCAAGGCATAAAAACGGGACTCCGCAAACCAATGAGTGACGTCCTGATAGGTTCACATTTGATTTCTACTAAATACTCTTGCTGTTTAGACAAAGAACAAGTTTGTTTGAAAGAATAACACATTCCACATGTCTGGAGTGACTGATCAACTCTGGACAATGATAACATGCATAATTCTCTTATAATGTGACTAACCTCAGGTAAAACACATACATCATATAAATTCTGACATTCTGCAGTTGAACAGGTATTATAAATATACTCAACACTCACACTGAAAAAGGAGCCGTCTTTTCTGTGACTGAAGTCGATTCTCCTGCAGACTGAGACGGTTGAATCTGTGAAGTCTTTAAAAGCTTAAAAATACGTGACTGATTGAAGGTAGACTATTATTTTGTGTCACGTTCAGCTGCTCTGCTCACTTTCACACAGGAAAGCGTTTCTTCTCACAGTAAGTTTGAGCTGTCAGGTTTCCACTTTTATTTTTCTTAAGACGACTATAAATCAGGAACTTGTTCCTGATTGAAGTTCCTGTTTGCTATAATCAGTTCCCATTTTAGGGTCATAATATGTGACTGACACAGCTTCAGTGACCCTTTATCATAATGATGATTCAATATGTTCTGTGTAGTGTAAAAGTAACACACAGTGTAATTGGAGAGATATCATGTGTCCATGTGTGTTGATTGTTCTACATCTTTTGTCGTAAACTGGGTTTTTAGACTTTTACTATGGCATTTAGATGAAAACAAAATCATTTTAATTTGGCGAGAAGTAATATTTATACGAAAAATGTATATTCATATTGTAACTGAATCTTTTCTCTTGCGTCTCTCGCCAAGAAACAGGAAGTTTTGGAGCCTTGGATTTGAGCCTTTGAACTTTAAATAACATACTTTTTAATCTTTGGGTTTGGGGTGGAAAGGTAGCAAGTATTTAAAATCTGCCACAAATATGTTAAGTTACTGAGCGCCAGTTGGAAAAAATGATACCAAAGATCATTTTGTTTAGTTAATTCTATTGTTAAAATGACATTACATTGGTTGAAGAGCGCTTCATGACTTGATTAAGACTCTGGACTTGGCTGTCTTGACTTGAGACTATTAACAAAACAATGAACCTCTGGTATTTGCAACAGTTATAAGCTACAACTGTGTTTTACCTTTGGAAAATCTACCTCTGTTTTTATAAGATTCCTGTAAAACAGCACAGAAATTGCTGCATTTGTTGAGAGTATATGACTTTAAATAAGAAAGATAGAATACAGAATGAAGATTTAAAGAAATGTGGAGCTCTGAAAGTCATTTTTAAAACCTCATGATCTGGTTTATTCTACCAGCACAGTTAAGCTTTATGAGTCTATTTATATTTTCTAATTAGTGTCTAGATTACCTTCACAAGATGGTCTTCAGTCCAGCAGCTCGAGCCAGCAGCGCCTCCCGGTGGCCATGACTTCACATTACAGCTGACAGACGACCTAAAACGGCACCGTGACCTCACACAGACACCGTACAGGCCGAATAAAAACCCAGGAAACTCAAAGAATGCGAGACTAAAATGGAGATCATTTTATTTAAAGCAGACACGGACGATGACAGTGGTCTTCTTTCTTCCTTCGTGGCTGCCATCTGGATTTATATTATGCCTCATCTGACACCTTGTAACACCGCACACATCGTCTATATTATAACTGCTTTAAACCTTGTTCCTTATATAACAGACTCCCAATAGTTCACCATCATTTTGTGTCAACGCTGACCATTTTAAAGCTGCACGACTGTAATTTTTGCATCTATAAAATGTGGGATATTGCATTTTATTTAGCAGAAGGTAGAGCGTGTTTTCATTATTATGTTATTGCACACACTGTATAGTAAATAGGGAGTGATTTGGGAGACAGCACTGGGTTCGAATGAAGAACTACTATAGGTTATAACCCCTTTTAATACCTAAATATTTATGGAATGGCATTATCTGATATCTCTAATGGTTGTTATCAATATTTTGGTATTACTGTTACAGGTTTTTTTTAACCTTATAACACATTTTCATAATCACAAGTTCAGTCTTGCTCTATCTTAAGAGAGAAAATGATGTATAAATGTTAGGAAACATAAAATCCAAACAAAAACCGCAGTAAGTGCAGCTTCGGCGTCTGTAAATAACCGTATTCGAGACAATTTCAGGACAATGTGGGGAATTAAAACAAAGGAACTCTTCACCAATAGTTTGGATATTACTGAGCTGGCAATAACCAGACAGGATGAGGTGTTATTATGCTAAATAAAACAGGTTAAACCTCACAAAATAATATTTATTTACTCATCAATTTCAACTTTTACACATGAAACAATAAGATTTAATGTAATAAGACTTATATCTATATTTATATATAATAAATCTATATACTTACTACTTCAGACAGTAGTTACTGTGTTTGTACTACCTTTATATATGTTAAGAGAGTGCTGTAGTTTTACTTTTGGGGTCATAGTTTAAGGAATTGGTACTTATTTTAAACCATGGAAACTACTTCAAGAATACATATTTAATAAGCACATAACAACCTAGAATTAATTTAAAAACCCCTTTTGTTAGTGTAGTTACTGCAGTTTGCCTCTGGAGGGCAGCATAAAGAGCAGAGCTGCAGATTGGGGTTATAATTCTCCGAGGTTAATCACCATGAGCGACCTCTGTCACACTGTTGTTGCATATAAAAACATCGACTACAGCCTCTTTAATTCGACTGTTTCTAACAAAACCGAACGGAATAACTCGCTGCTGCAAAACAAAACAAGAAAACCGGCCAATATGAACACAATGTGAGGCTGAATGAAAGTGGAAACATGAAGATTTAATGTTACAGAGGAAATACTTTGGATTTGAAGCAAAGTTTTCAGGGGCTTTAAAATAAAAACCTAGTGAAAACTGCCTTCCGATGGATGTCGATGGCGTGCAGACACATAACAAGACAAGGAAAAACAAAACAAAAACCAAAAGAAAAACAGAGACTTGTTCAAAACAGTCTATCAAATCAAATTTATTGAATTTTAAAGGGGTGCTTTGAATTCACAAGTTGCAGCTACAGTACATAACTCCTCTTATAGTATCAATACTTTATTTTTTTATTAAGCTATTTCGTAAAACAGTCCAGTCTCTTCTCAAGATAGGAAAAATTTCCTCAAAAAAAGGGGTCACGCTACAAAAAAAAAGAAGGACAAATGCATCAAATCTGATAGAATATGTATGAAAAATTAGAATGCTATCAAAAATAATGTAAAGGAGAGTGGAGGGGGCAGGAAGTGTTAAAAGGTTGTGAAAGGTTGCTGCATTTAAAGTCAGTTACACACCCAAACGGTGGAGCGGTGAGTGATCGAGAACAGAAACATCCACCAAAAAACCGACAGATGAAAAAGGTCTAAAACAACAAAACAAAACAAAAACACAGCAAACAAATTATCGACTCTTTAAAGGGATCCAACCTTCAAAATGATGTATTTTAGAGAAACAACATGAGCGGATTCGCTTGATGATTTGTAAATTAAAACACTACAAAATATGAATGTAAAGGCCTTAATTTCAACAGAATCAAATCCAACTTTTATTCTCTTTCTAGCAGTAAATGCATAGCAGGTTGTTTCGAATAGCTTCAACCAGTTAAAAAACAGAACGATGAGACTTTCTTGATGACTTGCGAACACAAAAAATGACGCAGTTAATTCTCCTGGAGGACACGACGACGACGATAAACACGATGAATACAGCCACAACCTGTAAAACACTGCCCGCCAACGTTAGCTCTTTCACAAAAGGCACTGGAGACCAAATTTGGTTCACTGTCCACAGATCAAAATCAGTCCCAGCAAATAGTCATCGTTGTTGTTTTTAGCGCTTAAAAATCCGAAATCTGTACGTTTCAAAGTGACTTTTTGTGCAGTTCGTCAGCCTGACGCCGCGTTCACGTCGCGTCAGAGGAAACCGAGCAACGACAGCAGCAGATTTACACGTTACAGCGGATTGAATGTGTGTTTGTGTGTGTTTTCTGCTGTTGTTGATGCTAATCCTGAGATCAGACTACACAATATTTATGCATTTTGAGATTTATTAAACATGGCTACAGCAGCGGCTCCCAACCTTTTTCCTTCAAGGGAACATTTCATGATATATTCAATGCATAACAAAAACACAGTAGAGCAACAAAATGAGAGATTTGGATGAATTTTGAGATTATTTACTGATATTTTTAGCAACTTTTTATACAATTATCCATCTATATTATGTATTTTCTTCATTTTTAACAATCATACACACTTAATAAGCCTCTTTTATCTGTGTTTTCTTCTTATTATTCAACTTTTCTAACCGCAGGACGAGGCTGTTAATCAGAGAGTGAGGATCGCTTGAGTTCAGGTCTTCAAAGTTTAGATCTTAAACTTTAAAAAGCAACAATTTCATTTAGTTTTTCCTCACAGAAATGCTGAGATAGAAGCCTTTTTTAAGTTCTTGTGACTCCCAGGTTGGGAACCAGTACGGACCCCCTGGCTAATGATAGCTCGCTGTACACGTGTGATGGTTCAGGAGTTGCCAGGGACTGACTTCACCCACAAAATCATCCAAATTCAGTCCCTGCGGTCGGTGAAAGTTGTCAAACTAGGTGAGACAAGGTTGTTTTGTCCTCCTGCTTCGGCACTACACAGTAAAAAAAAAAAAAGAAGGTTATTTTTACTCCCGGGCCGCTGTCGGGCTGATATTGTGCAGTCTGATCGCAGCACGTCACGATTACTCTCCGTCCACCAGCTCTTATTCGTGTCCAACATGAACGTGAAGGCGGCTGTAGATACACCCCCCCCCTCCCAGGACAGAGGGACCAACCCTGAATAAATGTGTGAATACAAAGCAGCAAAATCATACAAACAAAATCATGGGAGGATAAGAAAAGAGATCCCACATGCAAGTTTTTCCCCCATTCACATCTCAACAATCAACAGAAAGTCCAGAAACGTGTGTACGACCTTTTATGCATTACCTTCATACTGTTAGCATATCGAACGATGGGAACACTGACACCAAAATATGCCACGTTTTCTTCCATCCTCCTCGGTTGTTGTGCTATTTACAGCCACAGCAGATGATTTCTGATTCCTCGCACATAATTTGTAGACTGAAATGTGATAAAACAGAGAGTCCTGCCTCGTTTATAATTCCCTTCTCTGTTCCTAAAATGTTTTCTGTCGCAGACGGTCTCCCATCTGTCTCAAGACGCCGCAGAGCGGTCTAAACTTCCTACCAGCAGATGCTCAGAGTAGCAGACACCCAGAACAAAAGTAGCCCTGAAGGATGTCACTGGTTTCCAGAAACAATAGTGAGGCCCTTGCTATTGTGTGAGCATGGGGCCTAGTGTGTGATATAAAGTGTTCACGTGGACTCGTGGATACGTGTGTTTGATATTAAGTGTCTGCAACCACTAAACATATAACCCTATGTGTTAGTATGTGTTGATAAAAGTGTGAGCATGAGCTCCAGAGAGCTAATCGTGTTCATTTTGGTGTCCGTGTTCCCATTCAACAGGAGTCACACAGTTAAATTCTACCCTTACATACAAGTACAAGGAATACAAAGCTATTTTAACATGAACGTGTTTGTGTTACGGGTTTAGTGAGAGGTTTATAATTCCGGTAAACAGCTGGTAAATCTGCATTTCTTTTCCACCACATCCTCAGAAAGAAAAACACCCCATCACAAACCCAACGAGTCGGTCGCTCTCTGGGACCCAACGAAAGAAAAAGAGGAATATGATTGGAGTTTTTTTGTTTTTTTTGTTTTTTTTTTGGTTAAATCAGGATCTACATGTCTAAAATACTGAAAATCAAAACGGATCTCTCTTCATATATCGGTTACTGTGATTAACTGTGAGCGCCAGACAGTCTTTGGTTTACCAACCCTTAAAAAGTTAAACTATCACAAGCCATGTCAGAAAGCATAAATAGAAGATAAAGAAAAAAGAAAACATCATATAGAAAAAAGAAAAAAACCACTCTAGATGTGATCATATTCAGAATCAGTCTCACAGTTTCATCATCTTACAATAAACCTCTCCACACACACACACACACACACACACATATGTGAACAACTTCATCAAACTTCATCAAACCCTGAGCAAAGAGGATGAGCTTAAGACTTTTCTACGTTAAGAATCTGGATACCTGTACAGATATGTGAACTCTGCGTGCCTTCAACCTTTCTTCCTAACTCGGGACTCTCTCTCGGGTTTTTTTTGTTTTGTTTTTGTGGATCCGATGTTGTTTATGTGCAAACGTGACTGCATGAGGCAGCGATCCAGACAGCTAGCGATGGATATAATGTGGCTTGTCTTCCCCTTGGCTATGAAACTTGCAAGAAGTAAACACTGTAGTCAGGTCAGCGTAGCAGGCGCTCGGCTACCGTCACGTCAGACCAATCCATCGGATTGTTTGGGTCTTTTTTTTATTTAAAAACCGGCCGTCGGCGAGCCGTCAAAGTTGATATGGGTGTACATTTGAATTCTGGACACAGTCACACACTCTTACAAATATATAGTTATCCTTTCTTAAATTACAAGAGGGACACAAGGAAAATACAGAGCTGTTGCAATCAAAAAAAGAAAGAAAATATGGAGCTTTTTTTTTTTTTGATGAGTAAATCTACGGTGGAATGTCGTTTTCTATATTTTATTCCATGATTTTCAAAAAGCTAAAGCCAAGAGACTCCTTAAATCTTAAATTTCCTTCATCTAAACGGCTGCTACGACTCACGAAATGTGACAGACATTTTACAGAACTTGTCCGTCTCCCCGCGACAAAGAGTCCTGGGCGAAAAAGGGAGTTTTTTTTTTTTATTTAAAGTGACTTTTCTGAAACATCTAAGAAGCGATTCTAGCAAAAAAGTCAAGATGGGGTCATTTTTCTGCGAAGCAAACAAATGCCACAACTGGCTTGTCTTTAGTGTTTTCAATGCTACTACACCTCAACAAAAAAAAAAGGTTTTATCATCGCGGTATAAAGAGGCTTTTTCTATCAATCTAATGTGAAAAAAAAAGCATTAAAACGACACCATATGTCAGTTTTCTTTTCAGTGTATTTAGTGGAGGGTGAGGTCATGGTGGCTGAAAACTGACATATGTATCTGAAGGCAGCAGACTACATAGGAGACATGCACAGTTTCAATAGGAAATGCCCGCCCCGGCCCTGCTAATCCCAACTGGTCCTGCCTGTAAACTGCTGAGTGGACGAGCAGATAATCCTGACGACAGATGGCAGCAGAGAGGGAAAGGAAGGGAGGGAAGGACTCGCTCTGCTCCGCAAAGAAGAAACAAACGCTCTCAGCAACTTTCTGATCACCGCAGAGCTCATCGGCCGAGAGAGACCTCGAGAGGTCGGGTTTTAAACGGAAACACACGAGAGGAAAATGACGGGGAGGGATGGAGGCTGCAAAGGGAGGCGATAAGAAGCAGGGTGACACACTACAAAAGGAATGACCTGCAGCTTTTTAAATAGAAAAAATAAAAAACTGGTCGACCAACGTGAGAGAGGAGACTTTTTAAAAATGGATGAAAATAAAATCTTTTGGTGGGGGGGGAGGGGGAGGTCGAAGGTAACCACTGTTTTCATTTATCCCAGCTTAGAGACAAGTGGATTGTAAGAGGCTGAGGGTGAGTGGGGGAGAACAAAGAGGCTGGTATGTTTCCAGGCAGAGTGGCCTGGTCAGCAGTGGACAAAAGAGGTCTGCACTCTGCTGGGCTGCAGCCAAACCAGACAAACAGCCCCATCATTCAGCAGCTCTCTCTCTCTCTCTCTCTCTCTCCGCCCCCCCCCACACCGCCTCATCCTCCCGCTGCTCGTCAGCAAACCGCCCGTCTACCGACAAGACGACTCATCCCCCTTTTTTTCCCCTCCCCCCTGCACTGCTGTTCCACAACCAGACGTGGACACACCGGAAACAGTGGCACTACAGAACCCACAATGCAACAGCAACAACCGCTGGTCTTTTTTCAGCAGGCTTGATGCTCGAAAGTTGAATCTTCTTTTTTTTTTTGGGACTTCCTTCAAATCGGGGCTGTTTCATGTTTTTATTAGAAATTTGAAAACCTGAATATTTAATCCGTAATGATTTGCCAGATTAAAAAAATCCACAGTAAATTAATGTCACTTTAATCTCATCAGTAAACCACAGCCTTATTTGGTCGGGTATCGGCTTTTTCTCTACTTGCATTAATGAATACAAGTCGCTTAACCAATCTTTTTGTTCAACATAGCTAATATCTAAATAGGAGGGAGGCTTGCTATTGGAGCGCAGAGCAAAAAGGAGCGGGACTTAAATACAGATTCTTGTATTAGCTGCGTTAAAACATTTGAAAACAGTGTCAGCCCTATTAAAGTCAGCGTCCTCTCAGTCTGAGCTGCAGTTGTAAACTTGTAAAACGCTGCAAAAAGTGTCACTTATGATTTAGTTTTTTCAGTATTATGTGAATTTTAATGAATCAAAACACCGGTGAGGAAGATCCAAACAAAAACAACAAAAAAAATTCAACTTCCAGCTCAACTGCGATTGAACAGGAGACGATGTATTCGTGGTGTGGAGTCCCAGTAGAAATGCACAGTGGAAATAAATGTATGGTCCCAAAATATTTGGAAAAAAAAAACAAAAAAAAAACATACTGAGGCGTGAATCAATTGGATATGACTTTACATTAGTGTTATACGCATGCACCAGCAGCCTCTTTTGCATAGTTTGAATTTGCAGGACAATAAAAAAAAAAAAAAAAAAAAAAGGCCATTAACGCATATTTAGTGTTTATTATAAAGCTTGAATGACCAAAAGGGAGTTAAATTAACCCCAGGGTCTAGACTGTGTATGAAACTAACCCGGACAATAATATTCTCTATTTATTCTTTGATATGAAGAAATAATACTCTCAAGATCAAAAGAGAAGCATTGATTTTTCTCTCATAAATGCTCTTTATGAAACTGTGAATCCAACAAAATAATAATAATTGCTTTGCATGATAACAAAAAAAGAGGTCCTCTTTCGATCTACTTTCGGTGTCTAGATATACGTTTTAAAATTACTATTATTATTATTATTTTTTGTGATGCAACTAAAACATGATGTAAATCTCTAAAAACTTGAAGTATATACAGCCCTCTGTGAAGTGCTCAATGCAACAGCGGATACACAAGTGCATATAAATCTCCGGAGCCTCGGGGGGGAAACCGAACAGTTACTGGATGTAATCTCTTACGTTGTAGCTCTGTTTCAGGAATCGTCACTCCTCGATGTTTTTGTGGCTGGTTGCTCAAGAAATATTTTCACTCCTCTGTTTTCAGTTATTGCTCTGACCTTGGCCCTGAGTTCGTCCCCACCTTTAGGCATCACCGTGTCCCCTCCCCATCCCATCCCATCCCCCCCTTCACATCAACCCCCTGCCTCCCTACATCAGCTCCGCTCCATTATCATCTATAACAGAGATCGTGGGTTCAAAAGATGAAATCTGTCAGAGGCAAGAAAACATAACTCTGCTCTGTAAAAGCTGAACTTCGCCTGTCCTCGCACTAAGTTAATTCAAATGCACAATATATTTCGTAAGAGAGGGGCCACGTCTCATTCCTGCGATGGCTTTGTATTATTATTCAGACATCGAGAGCAGTCTGAGTTTTTCTTAAGGTGACTCATTTGAGGTCTCGAACAAACTTTGCAGTATCAAGCGAGAATGTTTAATGCCATGCATTTCATGATTTTAATTTATTTATTTTTTAATGAAAGATGAAGAAATGGTTCCCACAATTGAGGTAATTCCCTTCGTTGGTTCTCGAACTCCCGGCATTGGAGGATATTGCCAGTTTCTCCAAGAACGTGAGTGCAGCGTTAATTCCTGGTGATACACTATAAGCAAACGGTGGGGAATGGGGGGGGGGGAGTGGCTTCTGGAAACAAACGATCCAGCGCCGTTAAAGTGTTACACTGGATGTCACGGACAGGAACGAGGGATCGTCGCTGCAGATTTGCGAACTGATGGGGCATGCTACAAACAAAATGAACGGGGGGAAAGTCAGAACCTATCACATTAACAGGGTTTTAGCTAAATGTTTTTAGCTCTCAAATGTGGATGAGGTGACACGTATTCCTCACAGTTATTCCTGCTAATACCGCCTGGATTTGCATCCCACCCACCACTATTCCTAATCCTCCTTTATCAGTGTGATTAGTGAATGGATGGGAAGGGAAAGCGCAACTATCCGGCACATTACAGCAAAACCATAAAAATAAATACAACCTGTCGTAACAGACCTTCCAAATCAGCAGAGGCTGTAAACACAGTAGGAGTAAGAGATAAGATAATGTCTCTCCACGGAGGCTCTTCTTCGGCTTCTGGTTGCTTTTACTCCTGCGTTTCACTCGCGAAGAAGCAAACATGATCTTTTCTTCAGTGTAGTAAATGTTAACAGGCGCCGTGAAGCACTTCAACAAGATCCAGGCGAGAGCCCAATCCAAAAAAAAAAACAAAACAAGAAAAGAAGAAAAAACAACAACAACAACCCAAAAAAAATCATCAAACTTCAGTAGTAGAATTGGATCGGTGGAGAGGTCCACTTAGGCAGCAGATTTGTAACAGAGGAGTTAAAGTGTACGGAGAATGCCCAGGAGTTGTGGGAGAAGAGCAGGCAGTCCTGGTGTACTACAGTACAATGGTGGGGTTTGAAATGTGTTAAGTCAATCTAGTGCCTTTGCAGAAGTAGTTGCGTTAGTAGCTGAGTGTGCGGCTTGAGCGAGCAATCGTGAACTGGATATCAATCATCCTTAGAATTGTCAGTGACAGCGGCCGCAGGAGACGAGTCCGGCATACGACCACGCCGGTACAGGCGGTAGCCCTTTCGGCAAAGCAGGACGAACCAGTACACCTGCGGCGCCAGGATGCACAAGTTGCCCAGGTTGGTGGACAGCGGCAGGTGGAAGGGCACGCTGTAGAGCGGGATGCCGTAGTGGTGGCCGTACACCCAGTACATGTAGGGGAAGAGGGCGATGCGGCACATAAAGAAGGTGAGCAGTACCATACCACCATTGGCCTTGTGCAGCCAGCAGTCCTGGAGGCTGAGCTGATAGGAGACAAAAAAGGGGGAAGGGACAGAAAGAGGATTTTAAAGTATGACTTAAAGTACTCGGTGAAATTAAAAATATAGTTTTGTAAGTTCCCATCTTGTTTCCCTGTTTCAACTGTTCAGTTATGTTGTGATTAGTTACATTTCAGCCGACTTTGACATGCTAATTTGTGCCGTTGACCAACAGAAAACAAAGTAGGGATGCATGATTATGGCCAAAATGATAATCAAGACTATTTTGATCAATATTAAAGAGGTAACAATTACTGAACACGGCTTGTTCCATCTTTATCTGTCATGTTTCAAACTGATCTGATGCCAAAACATTTAGAAAATGGCTGTTTTTGTGGTTTACTAGATGTCAACCTGTGTTTCGTCAGTTAAATGCTTTTAATGTGAAGCTGTGGCAGCAGGAAATGTTCGGTTTTCATTAGCAGTAACTTAATACAGCATTTATTTCCGGGGATAAAAGTATCCAGGCTGCAGCTGCAGGGTGTGTGTGTGCAGGGTGTGTGGGAGTTTAAACATCAGTATCGTGGATGATCAAGTTCACTTCATTGTGGGAATATATTATTATTGAGCAGCCCCAGAACAGAGAGTCACAGAATCATTCTGCTGCTCCACTTTCATGCTTACTGTACACAATTATTAATTTATATTCCAGGATGGTGAAGTCATGACCCGCCTTACTCAGCCTCTGATTGGCCAATCTCCTCCCCTTAATGCATTAACCTCACCAACAAAAGGCAACGAGTACGAGCCAATCCGAGGGAGAGTAGGATGGGTACTGACTTCACCATCCTGGAGAGTTTGTTAGCATGACAATGTACCAGAGGATATTATAATTATTACTTACTTTTTGACATATATAACATTTTTTAAAACAAATAAAGAGTACAGTGAAAACTCCACACTTATTTTTCTCAATGAAACTGGACTGGATTTCGTTGAGCTAAAGCTTTAAAATCCTGCCACACAACAAAACAATATGTGATTCTATGATCTTCTTCCTATATCTGATGTAAAAGGGTGTGGGGACAGAAATCAATAGGAATTAACAGAGCAGTAAAAAAAAAAAGAAAAACCTGGCTGTTAGTGCTGATCTGGTCCAAAGGAGGGCAGCGTTTTTTAAAAAGACAGAGAGCAGCAGTGGAGCTTTGCTTTGCTCTTTTTTTTCTCTGCTGACACCAGATGTCAGCAAAGACCTGAAATCCCACGCTCCACTGATTTCACATTAAGGCTCTTCTATTCTTAGATTACCGCTTTTCTAAAACACACAGCCTCTCTTTGACTGCACATATGTGCCTGTTACAGTGCAAGATGAAGCACACGCTGTATGGGTGGAGCTAATGCAGGCACCGACTGCTGTGGATGGGCTATGAGGCAGGGACAGTGAACAGTGCTGTAGCTTCTTAGCTGAATGCTACTGACTGACTGACTGACTGTTTTCTTTTTTGGTGAGCCACGCAGCTTAATTATTGATGCTACAGCGACAAGCTACAAGCCCAAATGAAATGGAGATACTCAGGTTTTTGATGATGCAAGACGCTGCACATCACCTGAGTAGGATTTGCAAAAAAAGGAAAAAAAAGGGTGAATGACTTCCTGTAGGCCGGGCAGAGAGTCGTAGCATTCATGCTAGATGGCTTAAGGTCATATGATATGTACGTGTGTGTGTGTGTGTGTGTGTGTGTGTGTGTGCATTGATGGCTTTAAATGAATCTGAGGTGACAGAAAACAGTCTGACTGACAACCTTTGTATTTTACATCACTTGTTTTCTTTATATATTCCCCTACATGAGATGTTTTACAGGATCAAGGAGTATTTTGCTCTCCGTGGCACACTACCAGCATTTGTTTTTTCCACTGAAATTTTCCATTTCATACATATACAATGGGGGCTCAGTGTGGTGCACATGCTCCCTGCATGCATGGAAAGCAAGCCAGCATCACACGACACATGCAGTTTACAGTGATAACATGGTGGCAGTTTTACCACTTAAAGACACAGGAAGAGCCTCTTTCTCTGGATGTTATCAGCCGTAGTTTAAAAGCTCCATGAGTTAGTTGCAAATGCCGTCTCTGGTTGACTTTATAAATGGTCTTAATATAACAAACTAAAGCTGTATGTCTGAGGCACCATTGTCACCAGCTGATGATGCAGGACCATAAAGAAACAATGCTGTTCTTGTATTACAATGTAGAGCTTATAAGTCCTGTAAGTAGGAAAGGAGTGTTATATCGTAACCTATACGATATAATTTGGCTGCTTGGCTCCAGATTTATGTTTTATGGTTCATATTTTGTTTCACTTCTAACATCAGAAGAGAAAAGGTTTTTGGATTACGAGTTTGGCTCCTAAACTCTGATATATTAGAGTTACAAACAGGACCGGCTGCCACAGAGTGTGGAAATACTACACGGTGGATTTGCTCAAGGTTCAGGGGTAGATTTATTTTCCCACGAAGGGAAATTTGTTGTACAGCCAGGAGAATATGCTACGCCTGTGCTTCCCAACCTCGGGGGTCACTAAAGCTTCATGAGGGGATGCGAGGGCTTCTTGATGTTAAGGGACGCTAGAAAAATATATACAGCAGACCTATATCTATCTACTGTTTGTCTAATAGAACAATGGCCAGGCGTCAGGGACAAGAAAACACTGAATTTGTCAGAAAAGAAGCAGATTAAGTCGGTATGATTGTTAAAAATAATACAATATACATAATACAGACAGAGAATTGTATAAAAAGTTCCCTAAACACGAAGTAATCTGCTCAAAATTCATCCAAATGACTCTTTTTACACAAACTGAGTTCACTGTTTGGGTTCATTGTAAATCTTTCGAATATAATATGCTCGCTGTAGGTAGCATAGCACAGTGTTTTGCCTCATGGGACCCCATTTCTATCCCTGAGTAAACTCAGTGACATATTTTATGGATATTTCTGACTGTGAGAACTAATAAAATGTACAATTAATCCAAACAGTGAACACAATAACTGTACGAAATGTGGGTAAAACAAGTGATCTGGATGAATTTTGAGCAGATTATTTCCTCTGAATATTAAACAAGAGATGAGTTTTCCTGATATTTGTAGGCTCTTTTTATACAATTGTGTATTTTTTTAAACCTTTTAACAATCATAAATACTTAATAGGCTTCTTCTTTTCTTCTCACTGTTTTATTAGTTGATCTGTGAATGTAGCTTACATTCAGGTATTTAAAGTTTAGATCTTAAATAATAATCTACACTTTAGAAATATTTAAATTTTGTTGTCTTTGGCGACCTCCAGGTTGGGACACTTTAGCTCACATGTTTTTGGTTTTCGAATAACTATAAAAATACCATTGAAACTCTTTATATTACTGTATTACTCCTACTAGAGCCCCGTGCATACTGTTTGGGCATATGGATAAAGCTTGACGGGGCCTTGGACAATAACTGACTGCTTAGCAAATGATTGACCGACTTGGCTATATGGTACTTGACCTATCTGGTGGCAGCCTCAAAACCTTTATCTTTGGAGATTTTAGATTAAAAAAAAAAAAAAAAAAAGGGGGACAACATACAGTACATGACAGATGCATGACCTCTCAGTCTGCGTCTGGTGACTGTGCGTGTTCAGGCCGTCTCACCTGAATAAGTATCTTCCCCAGGGAGACGAAGGGTGTGCTGAGCTCTGTTAGAAACAAGCAGCCGACGAAGAAATCCCCCTGGTCCCTTCTGAAGAACTGAGGAACAGACAAACAGAGCACACACAGAGTGAGCAAACAAACAAGCATGGCAAAAAAACACAGCTGACATTCAAGGACAATTTCTGGGACAGTCTCACTGGAAATATGTTTGGAGAGGCTGTAAAAGACATGGCAAAATATCCGGTTTTTAACACACATTTGGTGCTTTTAGCCAATGTTTAATGTTCATCTTTATGTTTAAATATGAACAAATAATCCTATAGAACCTACAGGGTGTAAAAACCCTCTGAAACGGAGCTTCGTCCACAATGTGACACTAAAACTCTCCACTGAAACTCGTACTTAGGGTTGCTATAAAGGCGTCCTGTAGTGTTTTGTGTAATATCTGTTGAGAGAGGAGGTCTGTGTGGATCTGTTGTAGACAGGACTTGGACAGCCTCTCTTCAGGTATCAATCAACAGCCAACAGCTTACAGACTTTGTGCACCAGAAAGATGTCACTGAAACAAAGGCGGTATATTGTTTTCACTCCCAAATGGCTCTTCTTGTCCACCCTGCTGCGGTCAGTGAGGGTATCTTTGCAAAAACAACATCTGATCTGTGTACAGGTTTAGTACAAACGCAGGTAGTAGTGTGACAACGGCTGCTGGGGTTAGGGTTACACAAAAGGAGTATGACCTCAACACTGGAGTAAGTAGTTGGGCTATATGTTAAGATTTTGCTGGTGATATATCCACACAATCACCACCCCAGTAGTTTCAGTTGGGAGGTAGCTTTAATAAACTAAATAAACTCACAAAATGTCCAGAAAGGAAAAGAAATAGTCACATTCCTAGTACGTATATGCATATAATCTCTATTTAACATAACATTTCGAGGCTGCTAACGAGAGCCATTGATGTTTTCCTACATCCTCTACACTCTGGCTTGTCACTGGTCACAACTAAAGTACAAATACCTGATGGGGCTGTGTGGAATTTCCCAACTTTACGAGCTGAGGAGGACCGCCCGAAAACTCCAATAAACAAGAAAACAGTTCACAATGGAGACTCTAGTTGGGTCATCCAAACACAGGTGAAACAACAGGCATCTTTAATACTGGAAACCCCTTGTTGCTATGATGTATGTGGTCCAGAAATTCAGACTTATCAGGATCTGTAACCGCAGTAAATATGTATATTTCACTTTATTTTCCAATAAATACTTCCAATAGTCAACAACACTGCACTCTACTCTCCATGCACAGATGTACCGAGTACTTTGTTTGGTACAGAGGCCCCAAAAATGTCACATCATCATGAGTTTAATAGTTATTTTCAGCAAAATAATAATAATTTGTGCTGCAAAAACTGAGCATTTCTAACTCCTAAACTACATTTATGTGGATTCAGTTTAAGACCGACACCCAGAGGCCCGATACGGGTTGAGATAATCTCCCCGTTTTTCAATGCCACAACCACAAAAAGGCAGATATCTTATTCTACCACAACTTCAAGATGGTAAGATGGCAACGAGAGGCGAGCCGGTGGCAGAGGAGGGAGTGATGTCCTGTACATAAGTAATGAATAGAGCTTTCAAATATTGACCAGCGGCACAGTGCTGTGCCGTTGGACAGGCCATCCTAGAATAGGTGAGTCAGTCCGGATGAATAAAGAGACTCCAGACAAAAGACAAGCACTGTCTCGTAGCCTAGCTTGCTGTGTGCTGACGATGAATAAAGCATGAGCGGCTTCAGACGTGGCCTTGCCATCTGCCCATGAAAGAATGACTAACCACAGCGGGGAACTCAACACCACGCCAAACTACCTACCTACCTCATCTCACCCCCACCTGTCATGGGCGTGTGTTACCTTTGTCTTCGTCTGTTTGAGATGTTGCGTGAGGCACAATTTAAGCTTTACCTTGCATACAAAGCTGTAAAGGCTGTTGAGTTTCTTATGGATGTGACATACAGTTTTCATCCTCAGATGTAATGCGAGATGTGTCTGATACGTCTTTGTAAATATGCTAAAGCTTGCGTGAGTTGTGAGCCACAGCTCACTATTCTGATGCACCACTCAATCCTCTAGTTTGCCTGCAGCCACTGAGAACAATATGTATATTTGTGGTTACTAGAGTCTGATGCTTGCCATCTGTCCAAGGATTTATTTGAATGTTCTACTACATTCATTAGCCTGTGCGCAAATCAGATGCATTTACAACATTAAAATCATGGTTAGCCACTAGCTAAAAGGTTGACAAGAGCATAAAACCAATCTCATGTATCACTAAACACTGTCCACCTGTACAAACTCAAATATTGACAAGAGGTTCATGCAACTCCTCGCGCCATTATTAAAAACTAATTACAGTAATCCAGACATACTTCTCGTAAAACATATCCCAGCTCTACCCGAGCTCCTTCTGGGGTTTTCTGAGGCATTCCCAGATCAGTGAGTTCGAGGTCTGCATCAGAGTCTCCTCCTAGTTGGACTTAACCAGAATATCTTCACAAGGAGGCCTCGAAGAAGGCACCCTGATCTGATGCCCGACCAATCTCAACTCTGAGCTCCTCATCTTATAGGATTCCTACTTTTCCAGGACATTTTGTCTTGACAATACACTTGTTCATAAACGATGGTCATCATCGACCTTTTCCATAGACTATAGAAGGGTAAACACAGGTGCTACCAATGATATTAATTATTAAGGTTGTGTTGCATTTAGTGTAGCAGAGCCTTTCCAGTGAGCCAACATCCCCCCTGGCTCTGTTTGACCTGAATGGAACGTAACCTTCATTATCATCATCGGTAACAACCTGTGTTTACCCTAATATTTAATGTCAAAAAACAGTATCATTTGGCCACAGCACAGGCTAAAATACAATTAAAATTTTCCAGGACAACACAGATTGTTTTCAGGATATTATGTCGTTTTCCAGGCGTTTCCATGACTCGACACCAGTCTCTAAATATCCAGTTTTTCCGGGACACTTGGGACCCCTGATCTTCTCCGTAAAGCTGAGCCGAAGGACCAATGACAAAGGTTTTGGCCGCAATCGTATTTGCTTGGTCATGCACCAAACCTTGTGACCGGGGATGCACCAATTCAACTCTTCTTTCCTGGTACAGATTACGATACGTAAACTCGGAGTATCCCATGCCAGTGCTTTATTCAATCGGTGCTTCCCTACTTGTGACTATAATTTAGGGGTTGGTACGTAGCTCAAAACCTTCAACCTCAGGCTAACTTGCCAACTGTTCCTATTATTATCATCTAACCAATATTTAACTATGGCTCCATTTTGGTACCTGAGTAAACCAGACTAGAGAGAGAGTAACACTTGGACCCTTAAACTGGCACATCTAAATGGAACGCAGCTATCAATTAAAGCAATCAATTACAGTCGTCTTTTCCTGCTGCGTCATGTCAAAAAAAAAAAGAAAAAAAGAGCCTATTGTTGAAACAGCAATCAATTAATTAACATAATCTACACCTAAAGGCTCAATGTCCTTTAATGGCTTGCTGGATAAACTCTACCAGCTCGTGTCGGCAAGCCAGAGCGACATAAAGCCGATGAGTGACGGAAGGGAAGAGGAGGGACGGAGGGAGGGGTTGGTGAGTTTTAGAGAAAAGAGAGGATGACTGCAGCTGGAGCTGAATAATGTAGGGTAATGTGATCTCATATCGCCACTGACTGCCGCTGCTAACAAAAGGGCCGGGTTTCCACTGCACCTGGCCTGCTAACCTGGAATACGACTTGGAAAGAGTGACTATGTTCTGTAAACTCTATGGGATATAAATACTCTATTGGCAGGTTGAGGACAGTCTGGAGCGAGGAACGCATGTGGGATAAAATATACTTTCATTTAGGGTAAATCTCATTAATCAGAACATGGAGAGACTATTAAAACTGTTCAAACTGTTAGCAGGGAACTCACGGTTTAACAGTTCAGTGGGTTTTTCAATTTGCCGGTCATACCTGTAGTAAAATCCACAGCTTCCTCCCTTTCCCCCCCCCTCGCTTAACATCTGACTGTACGTTCATCCATTCAAATCTCTTTTTCCGTGCTTTGATGCTTTCACGTACGTTGCCTGGCTTCAGTTTTTTCCTCTGTGTCTCAGCAGAAAAACAACCAGCGCCTTTTCATCCTCTCTTCCTGTCCACTTTCACTGCGTCTGTCCATTTGCAACTCTTACAATTCAAGGACGTAAAAACAAGAAAACAATTAAGAATCATTTGCTGCCATTTGTTCGAGGAAATTAATCAATAATTACCGGCTTACTGTTCTCTCTTTCCTGCCATTTACTCCCTTGAAGCCCGGACATTTTGTTATCACTTTGAACTGAACAAGTTGGTTCCAAGTATTGTGCTCTGTTTAATAGCTCAGCAGCTGCTTTTTTTTTTTTTTTATCCCATCATGATTGTTTTCTGTGGCTTTAGCGGTCTTTGAGTAAGCTTGTAAACAGGAAGTAATGCACTGTGTGTCCCAGCTAACGTGATAATGGTGCTTTCAGCCACCAGTGAGGGGAACTCGGACCAGTAACAGCCAGTTCGGTCTGAAGGTTCAGTGTTAAAGACGAGTTCGTACATGTGCCTATACCTATAATTACTACAATATATACACAGCAAACAGCCTCGTGTTGTTGAGATGATCTGGTTGTGAGGTATTGTACACATAATAAGAGATAATATCAGGTGGATTAGCACACTAAAGTACTTTATATTATTATGTACATTTGACATTACTGCCGAACACATTGTCTTTTCCCTGCAATGACTCCATGGGTCATCAATGACAGTGAGCATCATGTCTGGGTTTTTTTTTTTGTGGCCACTTAAGTAATCATTAGGAGATAATGCAGCTTAAAGCAAGGATTGATTGGGAAACAATGCACTACATTACAGATACATTACCAATGATGCATTACTGGCAGTGGACAGTAGTAAAAGATTACAGTATTATTATCAGAAGTGAGTTTCAACTCTCTCCGAGTTGATTATACTGAAATAAACAGAAATCAATGGCAGCCTGAAAAAGTATAAATGTGTAAAAAAAAATCCAAATAATGGTCAGGAGTGATGTAATGCACCAGTATAATGCTTTTAACTAACACATGTACAACTAAATTCAGTAGGGCTGATTTTCTCAATGAATTGATAATTCATTTGGTCAATAAAATATCAGGATAAAGGGTGAATAACAGTTTTCTACTGTTGACATAAAAATTCCTTGTTTTGGTCCGACCAAAGATATTCAGTTTACAATCAAAGAAAAGAAAAACTCACATTAGAGAAACAATGAATCGATTACAGACCGTTTCTGATCGACTAATTGAGTCAACAACTAATAATTTCAGCCCTAAAATTCCTCGAATAAGCGAAATGCTTCATTTGACATTAACAAAGTACGCTGGCATCTGCTAAATGCAGCAGGCTCAACGTTAATTGGGTTTTTTTTACTTGTCGAAAGTCAACTTTTACTTTTGTACAAATGCTTTTTATTTATTAGCAATTATTATCAAATAACAACAAAGACCCTCTTAGGCGCAAGCGAGATGCAGTTGGCTCTTGTTATGTCACTACAGCTTGTTTTGAGTAAACCTGGCGCGTCTGTTTCACCCTCCGTGCTGTAACTTGCAGAAAACCGCGCACTACATACCAGGAGTTCGCCCCACACCCTCTAACGACACCCAACTAAACTCCTGTTTACAAAACGTTGCCTTAAGCTGCCAACACTTTCTTGCGAGTACTGCGCATGTGCAACTCTCAACAGAGATGAAAAGGAAGCGAGATGGTCAACTTCCATCATCAAGTCCGGAAAAAAAACAACAAGTTTCTCTAGATTTGATAGCCCGAAGTAGCATTTTACTTACCCCAGAAAACAGAAATCGGGAACAGAAGAGAAGGGAGGTTTTTCATTTAAAAATCATTAACTATTTATAAATAGTTGTTTCCCAATTTTGGGTTTCTCATTTCAAAACGAAAATCTGTTGTAGCAGTCTTTATTGTTGAGCCCTGTACACTATGTGCACAAGTAATGAACTTAATAGTAGCTTTAGATAAATAAATAAATACATCCAACTCAAATATGTGTATTTTACAGTAGCAATAACAACTAAAATGTGTGTGGTGTCACTGTGACATATTGAACAACCCTGTGAGATCCATAAGAGTTGTAGTAAACTGTTGGTAATCCCACTGTGTAGATGACGATTGTGATCTGTGATGCTAATCGTTTTAGCACCAGCACTGCAGGACAGTGATTTTCTACCAGCAGCTAGTGATCCATCACTACCAGTGCGGCCTGTGTTACACTCCGCTTTAATGCCTGGCCTCGACTACTGACAACAAGACCTCATCAATGCTGCCTCCAATGATCCCTCCCTCCCTCCCTCCCTCCCTCCCTCCTCACCAGCGTGACAGGCAGCAGGATAGTGAGCAGGGCGATGTGATGCAACACCAGCAGGAACTCTCTACGGACGAAGGAGTTTACGGTCCTCAGCGAGTGCTTCTTGTAGTCTTCGTGCCCCTTGACGCGGAAGCGGTGGTAGTGACTGAGGTACATGGCGAAGAGGTCGTATGTCATGTAGGGCGCACCGTACCAGATGACAAAGTAGGTGGCCAGCCAGTGCCTGAGGAAAAAAAACAAACATGTACATTACTCAAAATTGTATTAATCGTATTAAGATTGTTTTCTCAATTGATTCCGTCTCATCTTCATGTGACAATGGTTTTGCTGTGTTTGCATTAGCGGGGAGACGCATTGCATCAAAACAAACACCACCAAAGTCTCCATGAGCTGTATCAACACATAACAAGAGCCGGGCAGGACATCCATGTAAATAAAACTAACGTGCGGTGAAAGAAAAAGCTTTTTAGGAACAAAATGTGTCAGAATTGTAGAAACACAGCGATGAGTTCTGACAAAAACACTGCTGTGTGGACAACAGCCAGGTTTCAACCACATGAACAATCCCCCGAGGGACTAGGAACCTTTGGAGGAACTCAGTGTTTCCACCGCAGGACAAGGGTCTATATTAAATTCGGGGGACACTGTTTTACCCCCTAAAAAGTCCCTGTAGTGCCGAGTACAGGAACTAAAAGGACAGGAACTTTGGGGTTGTGGATCGCAGCGATGCATATCTGCACACACACACCAGTTTGTTTTTTATTCATTGTGCTTCAACACATCAACGTGGAGTTACAGAAGATAGCGGGTCTTTATATCACGGTGGAAAACCAGACAACAATGGGGTGAAGGAACCTTTTAGTTCCCAGCTCCTCGGACTAAAAGCTCCTGCTCCTTTGGGTGGAAACGTGGCAAATTTTAAGTTGCACACCAAAGTAAGACTGGAAATTTGTACTACTACATTAAACATTAAAAAAACCAACAACATTAATATGACGATGTTCTCAAAACCAGGAAAACTTGCCAATCACCCCACAGTAGGACTGATCAAGTCAGTCACAGATATAGCTCTGAAGCTAAATGCTAAACCAGACCCTACTCAGTGCCCTCCTGCAAGTGTCTTTACATCGCGTTGCTCTAACGTTACACATTAACATCACATGTAGAGCAGAAGTCCGGAGGCCGAACTATGGAATCGTACCACTGATGGCCTCTTTTTTTTTTTTATCAGTAAAAACTTCACGGTGAACAGTCTGCGGTCTCCTTGAGGATCACACAGGACCGAATCAGGCTCTGACCTGCTGGAGTTTAGAGGTGGAAAAAATGGTTTGCATAACAAGGGATCATCTATTATGAAAGCAATCTCCCCTCATAAATGGACTAGGCCTCAGACTTCTGGGGCATAGGTGAGCTGTGTATTATTATTATTATTTTAAATCTATTTTTAATTACACACACAGGAAATATTTGTTTAAAAGGAGCTCTGAAGAGAAGACAGGAGACTTATTCTTCAATAACGTGAAGAATAAAAAGTCCAGTAATTATCATATTGTTTGATGTTTACATGAAGACAATATGGAAGGATAAAAAAAAAAAAATCATAATCTTAGTTTTAAGTGGGAAAACTTTTGATACTTATTTCGACCAGAATAATAAAAAAAAATTAGACCTCTTACATAACAGGTGAGCAGGACAAAAAGGCCATCTCACAGTCAATAATGAGTTAATGATTATGTAGTTTTATCACAGTATTTAGTGCGAGTAGAGGGTAACCGGCCTCGCTCTCGCAAGAAGCGTGCGACGGCTTTAAGGCAGGCTTATGTAAGTACAGTATAATAAACAACTTGGACGGCTGCAGCACTCTAATGAGCGCACATTTCAGTGATGGTTAATTATGTGGACAGAATGGAGTAAAGCTGCAGGGCAGAGCTGAGCCACTGACCTCCGACCTCTGACTGGATTCTTTAGCTCTTAAGGTCAGCGAATGGAGATTAAGAGCAGTAAGGCACAACAAACAGCTCGGGGTAGAATGAAGGCTACATGAGTCTGTAGCATGTATGCTGTAAATTGATTTATTTTTCACATCTATTATTACATTATTGCTTTTGTTATTATTATTTTGATCCCAAGCTATTTCATGACGTCATCAAACTTCCTCTTTTCGTACTGCTTTGATGTGAGCGACCTCCTAGCAGCAGAAATTATATATTGTACACATTAGGGATCCTTTAAAAAGTGTCTATGGTGCACATTAACGCCCGCCAAGCGCCACTAACGTGACCCTCGCTGTCCACTGTGCCTATCATGACGAATCAAATCACAGGCGGCTTATTTGGTGCTTTCTATGCAATGTCTGTCTGTGTTTTTGCCGTACATGTTACTAGAGATGTGGCGACACATTCCTGGTGTCGAGCCACCACAGACCCCCCCGAGAAGATGAAGAGAAAAGTCACGGAGGTCGCTGTTTCTGTGAGACGTGGCATCTGACCCCGAGCCCCGAGGTCCTGGCTAAAATATGAAGCTCGAAAGGTTAAGGAAGGTTTGAGACGCATTATTATTTTTTTGTACGATGTTTGTATTTAAAAGTACGATACAGTTTTATGGCCGATGAGTCAAGAAGTTGATTTTGGTCTGTAAACAGTGAGGTTTAAAATCTGTCTCCTCGTGTTTTTTTGTCCCGTCTGATTTCTTTGTTGTGATGTTGCTGCGTTCCCAGACCTTCAGTCATTACCCTGGTGAATAAAATGTTAATATAGCTGACAGGAAAGAAGTAGGCAGCAAAGTAGCGTCCAAGCTCTAATAAACCATCCGTTAAAAGGATTATACCAACTTTGTGAGACACTGTGGGTATGTGTCAGTTTAGCTGCTCAGTAATGACAACACAGATATCAAAAATCATCCGTGTGTTTGGGTGGGGTGAATAAAATACGCTCCTTGCTCACACACTCGACATATTGTACGCTAAAGCCTGCTCCCTCTGCTGTATAACCCTTTAATACCATTCCCTCAGTACTGGAGGTTGTGCAAAGTTACTGCAACTGAGGCGATGAAGGCTAAACGAAGTGACAGATTGGGACGGAGCATTAGGGTATTCATGGGTCTGACTCTGGAGCATGTGTCTGATAATCTCCGGGCCTTGTGCACGTCACAGGACAGCAGAACTGAGCAGCGTTGTGGGGGAATTAAACCCTGTGGGCGAAGGGGAGGGGCGGCCGAGATTAGCAGCCTGAAACTGGGCCTGCCCGTGTCTGGCCGCTGACTCAGTGGGATTATTGGTACTAGCATTAGCATTAGCTAACCCTAAACGGCAAGGGGAAGCTAATGCTAGGCTAATGCTAGGTACGCTGTGGTACAAATACAGCAGGACGGCAGAGCGGCTTTTTCCTTCCAGGGTATTCACAGCAGCCTAAACTCTGGAACATCCTTGTGTAGATTAGGGCTGCGACTATCGATCAATTTCACTACCGATTAATCTGTCCGTCATTTTATCAATTAATCTATTAGTTGTTTGGTGCGTTAAGTGCCAGAAAATGGTGAAAAAACGTCAGAAAATATGACTTTAAAGTGATTGATAATCAAAGTAGTTGATTGATTTAATAGCTGACAACTAATCAATGTATTTATTTATTTATATTTCCCACTCTTCTTGAGAAAATGTTTTATTTAGTGTGGCCGAGCCTTTCCAGTGAACCTTAACTGGTACCACTGGTAACACCTGTGTTTACCCTACTATGTCAAAACAGCTGCTGTGAAAAGGTTGACTACATTACTCTTACCAGAACAATCATTTGGCCACAGCACAGACTAAAATACAATTAAAATTTCCCAGGACAACACAGATTATTTCCAGGATATTTGGTCATTCTAACCAATTCCCAGGTGTTTCCATGACTGGACAAGTAGTCTCTAATTTTCCAGGTTTTCCAGGACACGTGGGAACCCTTTCAGCTATTTACATTTCAATGTAAATGTGCCGGAGTTAACTAACAAGCTCATTTTCATCCGTCCTTCCTGGGTAGGTTATAAGAAAGTAGTGCCTAATGTCATCAGTATAGTGCTTCAATAAGTACTATAAAACTATAAAACATTAGTTAGTGCACTCTTAATTCAGCAGGTAGACTATTCTAGTCAATTAGAGACTACAAACACTTTACAAACATAAATGAAAATCTTTTTTTAAATTCAAATTCACACCAGAAAGTGCAGTTCAGCAGCATATACAGCAATAAACCTATGTGGTGTGGGTGTGTGGGAACATGTGAATTTCACCAACTCTAAGTGATTCTCCCAGAGGAACAAGTCAGCAGACAGGTTTTTAAAAGAAACCTGACACTGAACTGCGATGAAAGCAGGCCAAAGATGCAGCACAATGCTAACAGTGCGTTTACACATACAGATACAAAGAGGCAGGCAGTCCCTCGTCTCTCGAGAAGCCTGAGGCTTGCGGATGTGTGCTTTAAGCCTGTAATTTACATACTTAGGAGTTAAATTTCAGCGTAATGTGCCTCTATGCATTTTGTTTTAAATTCAAGTGGTTTATAGTTTGTTATGGTTACAGTATATCTTAGTGATATGGGAAGACGCACTGTGTTTTTAGGTCGTTGAGATGAGTGGAAAACAGCAGTTTTTCCATTTCAAGAAGTTATGAAAACAAATTTGCTTGTTGCCAGGATGTTGCTACCATACATCAGAGGGTATTTTGCATAAAAGGCAACAAGGAAAATACCGAGTGCTCACAGTTATTTAGAGTTAAAGATCCAGGTGCAAGGTGCTCTGGAAGTCAAGCTGGTCAACTGTAGGAATGAGGAAAGCCTCTGGACTCTTTCCAGCCACGTCCTAAAGGAAGACCCAGTGGTGATTTTCATATTTGATATGCCCTGACTAATAAAGACTTTTTAAAACGACATCCTCGGCTCCGTGCGAGTGAGCCTGAAGTAAGCCCAGAAGCTTCCCCCTACATTTGCATAAAGCTGAACCTTTCTGAACTTCTTAATGTCTTCTTGGATCCCACTAAAGTTACAGAAAGACAAGGAAGTCCATCCCCAGTCCTTGGCCCATAACGTCTAAAAACATCCTAATTTTTTATCTCATGTCTAAACTCAACCATCTGACGTGGACCGGTGAGAAAAGAGTAATGACTGAGGTGGAAATCAGGAGGTTCAGAGGTGTTTTACCTGTCACTAATGATGTTTCCCCGGCACGATGACACAATGATGACTCCCGCCGTGGTTGCCATGATGGCGTGGATGGAGGACACCAGTCTGAGAAAGAGAGAGAGAGAGAATAAGTCATATAAAAGTGCCAAGACATTTATGAACCTTATTAAATTAATGTTTAGCAATATCAGGGTTCCCACTCTTTCTATACTACAGTACAGGACAGCACTTTCTCACTAACGGTCATATAATTTACCAGTAGGCCTATTATTGACACATTTCCCCCAGTTTTATTCATGACGAGTGACTCGGGTTTATTACAGGAAGGTGGTCAGCGATTATGGGACACATTAGCTTGCTCACCACAGCAGATTTTTCCTGCAGCATCTCCGGTGATTTGACTACAGTTTACTACAGTCTTCCTCTAACCCAAGGTTTTACATAGAGTTAAAATACAGTAACACACTCTCAGGACAACACAGATTATTTCCAGGACATTTGAATCAATTTCCAGGTGTTTCCCTGACTGGAAAACTAGTCTCTGAATTTCCAGGTTTTCCAGGACACATGGGAACCCTGAATATCCGTCTGTCAGACTGCCATGAAATCCGATACACACATTCATGTTCCCCACAGAAATACCTTTGATAATCCCCTAACATCAATTGCTAATGACATTCCCATCAGCCTCAGCTGTACTTTGTTTTAAGTGCTAATTAGCAAACGCTAGCATGCTACCACTCTAAACTAAGATGGTAAACACTATGCCTGCTAAATGTCAAGTTAGCACTGTCTTTGTTAGCACGCAGCTGAAAAAGCACCAGTGTGGCTGCAGAGGGCTGCTAGTGCGGCTGTCCACTCTTGTTTTATTGCTTGTGTGGTATCTTTTAATGCTATCGTCTCTGGATATTTATAGCGTATGCTTCTGAAAGCAGCATTGGTTTTCATAAGGATCGGAGCACTTGCGGTCATTGGTTGAGTTCTCTAACATACTGTAGGTCTACATAGCCTTTCCCTTTCAACACTGGTGTTACTTTATGCAAGACTCCACTTGTTCCCATCATCTTGTTTCCGGAAAAATGAACCAATTTTGGACTTCTTGACCCAAATATGAGTAACATCAGAAACCCTTTGTCTTGCCATGGGAGTAGATGTTTGGTATTCTTCCAGTGGATAAAGCCTTGACCTATAAATAATGACAATGACACTGAGTGGAAATTCAATTCTGTGTTTTATCCCTGATCTCAACTGAAACACAGGTTGATAAGACTTTCTTTAGGATTATTTCAAACTGGCCTGACAGTTGGCGGTAAGGTAACTCTGGGACACAACAAGTCAGTTGAACAGCAGAGAAAAAAACAGGTTAGCCACATGGACTCGCTGATATCTGATATTAAATGAAAGGCGGATTATTTGGGGAAACCTGCCACATTGGTCTAACTCAAGAAATTTTGATTTGTCGGCCTGTCCGTGTGAGCAAAACCCGATACATCTAGGTCATGTTTTTAAAGAAAGTGTCCCTTCAGGTGAACTACTACAGCAGTCCAGTGTACCATCGTGGGATTAGCAGTGCTTGGCCTCGACTTTCCTCGTCTATAAACAGACCTGTGACATAGGAGAACTTGGTACGTCTCTATTCGAAGTGTCACTGTGTGTGAGCATACATAACATTTCACAGGCGTCGCATCTTCAGAGTATACCCACAAGTCATGAACTTGTGACATGTGTTTAGTAGTAGCTTGTAGATTAAACACAACATCTACTGTGGTGAATGTTCAGTTTACAGTCAGAGAGATGAAGATTTTTTTAACAGAGTTAATTTTTGGCCATTTTAAAAACAGGAACGTTGGATTATATCTCCAATTTGTTCAAACTATGAATGGCCGCTTTTGCTCAGACAAGCTCTCTCCCTGGCTGTTCTCCAACTTGGCAGCACTGACAGTAAGCCTCTTTGAAATCAGAAAACATGTAATTCATTCCCCGACACTGACTGCAGCCATCAGAGACAGTCGCCCCTTTTAAACACGCCACTGCGTTTGAATGTTTCAACTTTTTCTCGGCACCTCGTGGGTCTGGTTTACATCACCACCTACTCGTCGCCACCTACAATGCAGTGAATGGGAGACAAACAAGGGTTTACCTTGTGAAATTGCATCCAGTGCGACAATTACTCAGACCTTGCTCCATACAGCGGAGAGGATTGTGTGGGCTGGAAAGAAAACTAATTTTGAATTTAGACATTTTCTTGTGCTTCATAGGCCTTTTCTTAGGATTAATACTTTACTAGGACAGTGCTAAACAGATTGGAGCTGAGGACTATCAGTATTTTCCCACCAGCAATTAATCATATTTGCATAAATACGCCTAAAGGACTGCACTACTATCTGTTTCTGAAAAACTTTGATCATTATTATTATTATTATTATTATTATTATTAAGTAAAAGAATCTACAAAGGGAGAGAGAACAGTCTATTCAAATATTTACAAGCTCAAACTATTTACATATTTACAAGTTATAGGAACACGCTAATCCAGAGACCCGGAGAGAAAGAGTGAGTAAGAAGGTCAAACAAACTCAATTCACGTGTTTAGATACTATAGGAACACCCAAATTCAGACAGGAAGAGTGAGATAGAAGGTTAAACTGACTGCCTTAAGCACAGCCCCAAGAGGAGAGGGAGAGACCCGGCGTTGTTTGCAGAAGAGTCATACACTACAATTACTCTGAGCAGCATACATGGGAATTAACGACAATATATTTGGTCCCTGATGATTTAAATAAGTCGCTTAATCTGTCCCTAGTCACTTTTTAGAAATAAAGTCACTCAGGGTCTGAAAAGTCACCAAGTTTCTAATATGATATCTTTCGTGCTCCCAAAGAGATAAACCCCCAATTTTACTGGCCACATGGTGTTTCTTCTAGGACCACCTTTAGCCCCCTAAAGAACAACATTTATAGCTCCTCTATTGATTCAATTATCAATCTAATAATTTTCATGGATCCACATTTTTGGTCCAAAAACATACCCGATCAAAAAGGGATCGGACATATTGTCTCAAAGCCCAAGGCCCTAGCCAATACAACTTATCCGGATCTGTTAGTGTGAATATCATTTGGGCCTAACATGACTCAGGTCCTGGGTCAGGCCTCAGACCCTGTGAATTCTCCTAGCCAAAGAAAAGCTTAGGACTTTTAGTCCCGTTGTAAATAATGACTGGTTTTACAAGGCCAGTAAAGACTGCTTTCTGTCTCCTTTTTTAACGAGTTATGGTGTGTTGCAAATGGCAAGATTGAGAAACAAAGAGTGCAATTGTGTGGTTTCCCTGTTTGAACCTGCTGCCACCTCACACCAATCTCCATGGGAATGCGGCCATGACACCGGCATCGGCAAGGCAACGAAGGCCACGTGACCGGCAACTACAAAAACGATAGGCCTGAGCCGGAAAAAGACTAACTGGCCTCTCTCTCCTTCTCCTTTCCCTGCAAACTCTACCACCCCCCCCGCCCGCCCCACTCCTGCAAACACACACATTTTATCCCCACGCATCGCTGCCTTCCAGGGCTGTATGGTCGCATACTCTATCACAAGACCCAGATTTTTTTTACACAGCCCATTCATTGTGTGTCCGGCAATAACCCCCGCTCTGTCTGCTGATGAAAGGTTGAGGTTGATGGGGTGAGGAGCGTGCAGAGGGTAGGAAAAAAAAAGGAAGGGAAGAATGCCTCGCTGCCTTGTTCGGCAATGTTGTCTTTTCTTTCCCGCTGTGTCAGGCCCCGTGAACAACCTCGGCTTCCCTTTCACTACAACCAAATCTTCCTCCTGACTGTTTCGTTATACACGGACCACTTGCTCTTTCATGTTCTGTCACACACACAGTGTCTGACAGTCATGAGAGGTGGGGTTTTTATTTTATTTTTTATTTTTTTGCTCCTTCAGTAAAGGGGCAACGTAATCTGTAGTTCTATTGGCGCTGCAGCAGAGCGAAAGAAAAAGTGACAGCAGAGGCAAAAAAAAAGCAAACAGGGTAAAGTGCATTTCATGGCAAGAAGGAACTCACTCTCACTCTCTCTCTCTCTCTCTCTCCCCCCTATCACAGCCCCTCAATCGCACAAATGGATGCAGCTACATCACTAACTGCATCGTTCCTTAACCACTTTGGTAGTCATAAACAAGAGGTTAATCAATTAGACGATCAACAGAAATTCACCTCGATACTTGTGCTAATCGACTCATTGTTTATATCATTATGAATTCAAAAACGGACAAAAACAAGCATTCTGGGCTCTGGCAAATTCTGATCCGATCAGTCTCTTTATTGACTGAATGACTGATCAAAATTTGAGAGATAATGCAATCATGAGTTGTAGCCCTAAAGGTGGGTAAACTATGGACTCTGATCAGTGGTAATCACAAGATAAACAACTATCAATATGAGGAAGAATCAACATATGTTTGTACAGGCGTCAAGTCCTTTAAATCTATTAAAAAAAGACACTTCACTTGCGTCTGTAACTTATGCAACTTGCAGCAAAGCTACATCATTTAATTCAATTTCCCGATAAGTTTTCAGAGGCATTGATTCAACTCTGAGGTCGTTTATTTTAAAAGGTTAAGATCATGTCAACGTTTTCACGTCGAGGACAGATGCACACACTACTACTACTGAATTGTAAAGGATTTTGTATGAAGAGATCCCCTAATTTTTAGGACTGAAGATAAAGTCCTATTATATTTACAATCAAAACAGCTGATCCTATTTCTTCCCTTGTTGTTTGGACGTCCAAAAAATGTGATAATACTTAAAATATACTATTCCTCCTTTTGCTGGGGATCTCCTCAAACCACTCAAGGACCCCAAGCACATTTTTAGTAAAACGTAAAAAGGAATCAGGATGTTTCAGAGAGAGTGATTTGAACTTTGAGCAATCTTAAAATCCCCGTTTGGAAATAATTAAATAGCGCCAAATCACAACAAGAGCTACATCGGCTACTGCCGGCTGAATGACGACAGCACAGCGGCTAACGGTTTAACTACCGTGGTGCGGAGTTTCCACTTCAAGCCTCGCATCCATCATGGAAAATAAACTACATTTACTACACACACCATTATAAAAAAGAGGCAGGAGAATAGCTAAACATGTGACACCGAGCAACAGAGAGCAGGAGAGGGAGCGAGAGAAGACACCACAGACGCACTCAACTGCAGCATGCATGTTACATCTTTTATGTTGGTTTATGGATAAAATGTGCAAAAAATAACTGATTAGGTCAAATAATTTTTGCCTATTTCGACAACACTACCACAGAGTACCTTTTTGTGGCCCCGGGTTATGGTTAATGCTAAACCCTTCCCCCTGCTTTAGATTGTGGTGTCATTGTGCTGGACTAAGTGTCAGGTGTACCTAATACTTAGTCAACCCCCGTTTTATGTATGGGGGGGGGGAAACAGCAGTCATTTGAGACCTACTGTACTACAAAGCTGTGTAGTAGAGGCACAAACAGAAAGCTGGAAAGCAATCTCAACCGTCTATAAGCCCATACATTAAGTGCGCTGCTGCTATATGAAACCTAAAAAGCCATATGTGGTAACTGTGGCCACGAGAGGCTTAAGAGTGTGCCGGGTGATGCCGAGTATTATAATCCCCTGTGAAGTCAAGTGTTTTTCTTTAAAGTAGGCTATGGTTGCACCTGGTCCGACCCTATATGAGATCCTTTGAGGTGATTTTACATTTACAGCCCCTGATTGGTGTAGTGTTTCTTAAGAGTCGGCCTGTCAATCAAGCAATGTGGCTATAGGACTATTACTTGTCTCTTTGTCAGCTCGGGTCAGTATGGTTAGTATTGCTGACACTTATTACCCACTTCTCTCTTTTCCCAGACACACATAGAGGAAGTTCTGGCAGAGTCAGCTCACAACATAATCTTTTTTGTGGATAAAACCAGAGCACAAAGTACAGCTTCGGTTGGTGATAGATGACGAGAGCTGAAACAGTTTGTCAAACATTAACAAGCAACTATATAGTGGATATTCATACTAATAGTTTAAGTCATTTTCAGGCTAGTTCCAGCTTCTGAATTGTGAGGATTTGCTGCTTTTCTTTAGTTTATCCGACAGTAAACTGAATATGTTTGGACTGCAGCAGGTCACACAGAAAAGACACTTTGAAGAACTGACCTTGGGTTTTTAGGAAATAGTGACGGTTTTCTTTAAAAACACTTAATGAAACACAACCAGCAGATTAATCAGTAATGCACATAATTGCTAGTTGCAACCCTACAGATGATAGCCTTTCCTTTAGTGGCACCCTCATGCCAACATGTCTATGTTTTTATTTAAGAACAGCACATATATATCCCTATTTTTCATCCTTTTGACCATTTTGTTTTGAGCATTAGTGTCTCACTATCCGCCGTACTTTTTGGTGACGTAAGTCCAGCTACAAATAAGGAGAAAAAGGGGCTCTCTGTGCTGCCTCCCAACAACCGCTTGTGTGTGGATTATCTTTTTTTCTGGAGGATTATTCTCACTTCTTATTCAACGGTTTGGTTATCATAACTAATGGTTTTACCGCAAACTCAGAACGTTATTTACAAATTGATAAAATAATCTCCACTTCCCTCCCGACACAGGCCCACTATGACACTGCACATCAGCTCACCCTTAGCTGGTGATAAACGCCAAACAGACACTGCATCCTCGCTGTGTCTGAGTGGACTTTGGGCTTTAATGCGATGACATCTTGGAGGTATTGAATGACGAGGCGAGGTGTTTGCGTGTATCCTGTTTAACCGGTATCACTTCTCCTAAACAATCTGAGTGCATTGAAATTAAAAGAGTGCTTCCAGTGATTTTACAGAGTTTACTTATCATACTACTCAGACTTTTAAAGTCCAGGTGAAATAAAAAAAAGGATTTTTTACTTTAAGATTGCATCCTAAGTAATATGGTACCCCTACTTAACAATCTTTCCCTAAAAACTCGATTTCTTCGTACTTTTATATTCAAATTCATTCATTTTTTTCTTCCCGTGACACAAAATATGATGTGTGCTTACTGAACTGACCACTAATATCAAGACATTCACCTGTCAATCAATCTACAACCTTTAGAGACACAGACCGAAGATTCATTAGTTAGCTACTGCGCAAAAACACAGCTTTATCAGTAATCTGGGTGAAACTGGATCATATTTTATTGAGAAGATATCTGGTTTTAATATCTGGTTTTAGATATCTAAGCTGCCACGCAAGCGAAATGCTGTTGGCTCTCGTTACGGCGCTTTATGGCGACACATTGGGAAACTTGAAAAACGACCCTATTTTATCTGCCTAGCTCTCAAAATTGCATAATACATAAACTCCTGTTTCCAGGATAATTGAAATTCTTGCTTCTGCTACAGCTCATAAACTTCGCCTTAACCCACAAGCCCCGATCCCCCCCCGATCGGTACCGGGCATGTGCAACAGCTCACTTCATAGCCCCCCTCCATTCATCAGATCATCAGACAAATGCATGCAAGCTTTCACTTCTAAGCAAAGTGACTGGTATCATAGTAAAAATGTAGTGATTAAATGGATACCTCACAGTTGTGCAAATGTTTGCGAACCTGATTCATTACTTTAAAACACTAATATATATGTGTAGCGTTATATTACACTACATACATAAGCGTCAAGTTGCTGTTAACTGGCACGAGCTGAAATGGAAGCAGAGAGGCATGCACGACTGATCACCAGCCAATCGAGGCTTTGAGTTATTAATATAAGCCTTTGAATGGACACAAGTGTGTAAAGAGGGCAGTTAAAGGCCAGATTCAGGATCTTTTCAACAACTAAACTGAAACTGCTCCACCAAATAAAAGCCCAAAGACAGTAGCATGATCCACGCTCCTGACCTGTGTGTCAGAGGAGCTACAGCAGAATTTTAAAAAGAGGCTGATTCAGTGCGTTAACAGGCGACGTGACATCCCCCCCTGAGGCACGCCACCGCTTGTAAGAACAACATTTTCGGTTAGATGAGCATTAGTAAATTAGTAGAAGCGTTATTTGGTGAGCGGAGTTCGGTGTTTTCCAGTGCATAGCTAACTCAGCAGTCGGCCCCGTCCGGAGCTCAGAGGAGGATTAACGAGAGTGACAGCGTACAAATGAGCATTGAACTGAACTGTGCACATGTGAGCGAGCCAGTCACACTGACCCACACACCCACACACACACATATACGCACGACGGTATTAATTATTACTACTATGCAACTCAATCCCCATGAGATATTAAGTTACTGACGAGGCTGCAGATGTAATGATTTACTTTGTTGGTTCAGAAATGTAGAATAGCCGCGTGGGGCGAGCTCAGGTTAGGGTTGATCACAGCTAACACTGTCCCTATGTGCGCTGTTTTCAAGGCTCCTTGATAGAGATATAAGAGATCAAATGGTAAAGACAAAAAACAACATTAAGGCTCCGTTCCATTTAGTGTAGCAGGCCTCTGACTCTGTTTGACCTGAATGGAACAGAGCACAGAGATGGGATAATGTATAGTGCAGATTTCAAAATAAAACTATTACTGGCCACAGCACAGGCTAAAGTACAATCAGGGCTGCACAATTTATCGCAATATCGCCAACTGCGGTATCCAGATCGCAGGAATCTTCCTCTTTTTTAAATAAAAAAGACATTATAATGAAGTACTGAAGAGATAACCTGGCTCCAGATTCAAGAAGAGTTATTTTATTCTTTTAATTTGAATATTTTTAGCTGTTTATATTAAGTGCCGTCTAAATAAAGTGTATTATTTTGTTTGTTTTTTTTACCATATTTGCAACCCTAAATACAATTTAAATTCACCAGGACAACACAGATTTATTACCAGAATATCTGCTCCTTGTAAAATCAATCTCCAGGTGTGTTTGCCTCTAAATTTTCCAGGTATTCCAGGTTTTTCCAGGGCTGTCCTGGCCCAGTTCAACCGAGTTTACAAGCTTGTTTATGTGCCTGAGATAATCCAGTGAGCTGCCACCTGCATGCTATCAGAATATAAACGACAGAATAACAAATGCCTACAGATTGACCCTTGTGGGACCCCGTTAGGAAGAGAAAGGAACATTTTCCAGGTTTTCCAGGACCTTCATCTCTATATTCCTACAGGGGAACCATAGTTGTAGCAGTGGGTTTATATATATATATATATTTTTTTTTGCAAAATCATCCTTCACATGAGCCCTATTTTTGGCTATCATACTAATAGACATTAAAATAAATAAAATAAAAAATAAACAGCAGCACATTAATGCTAACTGGAGCCACTTACTAGCTTCAAAAAAAAAAAAAAAAACAGCAAGGTCAAACGTAACAAAGCTCCGTTAGCTAGCTTTCTCCATTTACCGGTTATAACGTGAATTTAATTCACAAAAAAAAAAAAAAAAAAAAGGTGTTTGTGTTTATTTATTTTTTTGTTTTTACCTCTCGCTGACCAGCACCACGTCGGCATCGCTCCAGTGTCTGAACACACACGGTAGGATCCTCCTGAAGGCGAAGAACAGACCGGGGAAAACTACGGCGCCACAAGCTAGAACTTGCAACATCCTGCCGTTATTTTTTTTTTTTTTTTTTTTTGTCAGTTAGTAAAAGAAGCTAACCAACCGCCGCCCCCCCCCCAGCCTCCCCCCTCCCTCCCCTCCTCTCTCTCTCGGGGAGACCGGACTCTCCCCCCCCTCCCTCTCTCCCTCCGTTCACACGCGGCGGTGAGGCATTCTCCGTGAGGGCCGCGGGGGTCGGTGTGTTGTCGGGGTGTTATTTTGTCTCCTCACCGGGAACGGTCCACCACCATCCGCGTACACACACACACACACACACTCACACACACACACACACCGCTACCGCCGCCGCCGCCGCCGCTGCTGCCGCCACACACACACACACTCTCTCTCTCTCTCTCTCTCGGGCTCTCTCTGTCTCTCTCTACCTCTCTCTACCGCTCACTGCCGACGCTCAGCAGCAGCAGCAGCACCACTGTCGAGCTGCACGGGCAGCGGAAACACGGAACTTTACAGCGGCGGGGCTTGTCAGAATAAAAGTCTTGACCCGGCGCCGGAATGGAAGAGAGGCACTTCCGGTGAGAGGGTTCACAAAGGGGCCTTTTGTTAGAGCGGGAGAGTGTGCGCTTTTATTTTGAAGGTCAAACTTTTTTTTTTTTTTTTTTACTATTTCTGGATATAAGACAATATAAATAGTTGATTAATGGATGTTGTTAGAGTTTTTAATGGTGTTTCTTTCTTATTTTTTTTTATTAAATTACATTTTAAAAGGGGACATCTCAGCACAGTTATATTTTTTTCTGTTTTAACACGTTTCTGGACGGGAAAAAGAGTGATTATAATCTAAATATATTGACTTAGTATCACAAAATAATGACAATCTTCCTCATTATTTTGAATTAATATCAATATTTTATCTTAGCACCTCAAAATGATGACAATCTTCCTCATTATTTTGAATTAATATCAATATTTTGAGTCAAAAATAATGAGAAACCATGTCAAAGTTTTGACTTAGTATCAATATTTTGAATTAATATCTCAAAATAAGGAGAACCTTTGTCAATATTTTGACTTAGTATCGCAAAATTATGACTTTGTGATACTAAGTCATTATTTTGAGATACTAATCCAAGTCAAAATATCCATACTAATTCAAAATATTGACAACGTTTCTCATTATTTTGTGATACTAAGTCAATATTTTGAGAAAGTTTTTAATTTTAATGACTTAACAGAATCTTTTTTCTTGTCACATTGGTGGACTCGGGCTTCCACAGCATCCCGCTGACAAACAATGACACAAACAAACAACTTAAATGTAAACACAAACACATATTAACCCCCCCAAAAAGGTTGTATATGAAAGTTACAACTTACAATAGATAAATGAAACCCACAAAACAAACAAAACAAATAAATAGTAATCAATAATATGATAACAGTTACTCAGAAAATGATCCCATACTTCATAGAACTTATTGACTTTACTTATTTGACAGCTTTTGATATTTGTCACTTTACAAATGAAGATGTTTGCATACAAAACATATTAAGAGCTTTAGTCATTTTTCATTTAAAAACATTTCATGGTTCCAGCTTCAGAAATGTGAAGATTTGCTGCGTTTTATTTTCAGTTATTTGAATAATTGTAATTTATTTGAATAATTTTGAATATTGGGACTATTGTGAAAGAGCCATTTTGTAATTTTCTACAAACCAAACATTAAATTAATTAATCAAGAATATAATAATTAGTTGCAACGGCACAGAAAATAATAAAAAATCTGCTCCACCTAAACCAACTGCAGCATTAAAATCTTGCTTTTACATGAATACATGAGTAATAATAACATTTAACAACCATTACAATTACATAATGTATACATTATTATACTTAATATCATTTTACTTCATTGATTTTTGGCCACTTGGGGGCAGTAGAAAATGCTGTAAAGACAATATTGACATAGTATATCATCACCGTGTAAAGTTTTTTATAAACTGACTCAAGTCTATATCATCACTTACTAGGAATCATGTCCAGTATTCACTCTCACTTTGGTTTTAGTAAAGAGAAGAAATATCTGCCTCTTTAGCTGCTAAATGCTAAATAAATAGTGACACGGAGATAAAGAATACCGCGGTTGAATCAACACCTCCTGTATCTGCAGTTCACCCATACTAAACTGAGGCTATCAGCCATCAGAGGGTGCTATCAGCTGTCAAGTAAACACTCTCTTTAAAGTCAATTGACCCGACTTCACTGGCCTTGTTGGGGCAGTATCTCATGGCCACTTGTTACAGAGTGTCTGGCATCAAGATTCACCAAGCAAACACTTCAATATTGGAGGACGTTACACTAACACAGCCTCCGCTAACCACTGAGCACAGAGACGTGAAGTTTACTGTGTTTTCTTTGTTTGTTAAGATATTTTTTTGTGTAATAAAACTGAGGTTAATTCGTAATTTCACTGTTTTCTCTCTTTATTTTACAATTATTTTTATAATTATTGTACTTGTATATGTTATTTTGCACATTGTTGGTGTATATTAGACTGACTGTATTGTAAGATAGAGTCGATTAGTAGATTTTAGAGTAGATTTAAAGATTTGAATTGTCACTTTTAGGGATCTTTTAACCTCCCTGTGTGCCTCCAGGGCCCCCAGCTCTCCTGGTGGTTCCCAAAACAAGATTAAAAAACAAAGTTGTTTGTTGCCATCAGAGTCCCCAAACTGTGGAACTGCCCTCCAGAGGAGATCAGGAGGGCAAATTCTATCACTGCATTAAGTCTCTTCTTAAAACGTACTTTTATTCTCGCCTTCCTGTGATCCTTCATTTCTAACCTTTTATTTATTGTTTTATCTTTTTATTTATTGTTTTATCTATTTTATTTATTGCTATTTTTTTACAGTGTTATATTGTTACTGATGGTTTTTAATGTTTTTTGTTTTTATCCTGTAAAAGCACTTTGTAAACCCGATTTTGAAAGGTGTTATATAAATAAAGTTTATTATGATTATGACAAAATGACACATTTACATTATGTTGATATATTCTGTTATTATATTATATTACTATACTTACAGTATTTAAATATTATATTACACTTTATACTTTACTATGTTATATTATACTACACCCATACTGTATTACAGTTCATATCCTATTCAGTGTTATATTATATTGTAAATATTACATTGCTGTACTATATGTACTGTTATATTACTACCTGTTATATTATATATCTGATACGAGTATCAGATATGAGATTCATCATGTGATACTGATTTTTGCAGCATATTCTACATAATATTTATATCACAAAGGCGTAACCATGTTTTCAAAATTGGGGGTGTCCAACTGAGAGCACATTTAGAACGTAGTTTAGAAGATAGTCTGTGCGACAGTGGCTGCCTTTCCACATTTTTAGTTTTGGTTGCTTACCGTTAACTGACTTTAAAAACACCTAGCAATTAGAGTTTCCCAGTAGTAGTGAATAGGATGGCTTCTAATGGGGAAAAATTACATACATTTATACATAAAGTTGCTAATAAAGTCTGAAAAGTCACCAAGCTGCCAACACTGAATGAGAGTACTGGGCGCAACCAAGTTGGGGGAGTCACGCACTTAATGCTTTCCTGGACAAACTGAAATAAATGGAAAATAAATAGGAAATAAGAAGAGACTGCGTTGAAAATAGGAGGACATATTTAACATACTTTCTTCTGTATCTTGCTGGGACCCTTCAAAGAATGTGCCCTAGATATTACATCTCTATATTAATACAGACAAACACTGACTACCATTATTTAATCATATATTAGTCTGGTGTTCACTGTTAACATGCTGCTATTAATCACACCACTGCCACTTTACCTTGTAAGTATTGTCTATTATATTATTCTTATTTTTATAGTTTTATTATTCATTTCTTTCCTGTCCCTATTTATCTGAACTAATCGTTGTCGCTGAGTTCACTGATGTTGCTGCTTCACATGCACAACCAAATATTAACCACAGCATGAATATGAAAAAAACAGGCGAGTTAACCATGTGCATAATTTCCAACAGTTCCAGGCAAAACATGTCTGCGTTATTTGAATAAAATTGGACGCTGTTTTTCCTATCATGACCATAAAAGCACTGACCACTCCCTTTAATGTCGGTGGCTGACAATGACTGCCTGATAGCAGGGGCTAAAGGTCATGGAGCAATTATGGTTATTTAAACCTATTCTACACTCTTTTCTAGCATAGGGCGGCCTATATGCTTTGTTTAAGTTTTGCATTTATAGAGGCATAAATACCCTCACATGCATACACATATTGAACTTAAACAAACATTTTCCAACACTGTACCCACCCTGTAACCCTCCCTACCTTCCCCTGGGACCAAGAGCGCACTCAGTAGAACAAAACCAAAAAAAAAACCACATTTTCTCCATTTTAAAGGCGCCCGTTAGTGTGCTGTATTATATTTTCTCCACTGTAAGGACCCTAGAAGGAACCTTATCACGTTTTCTTGCACACCGGGTCACCGTAGAGGGCACTTTATTATGTTTTATTTACCATAGGGGCATCCAAGAGGGTACTTCTGAAGTACCAAACATACTTATCTCTAACATTTGCAGGAACCTTTTATTTTTATTTATAAACAGCGTGACAGAAAATAAAAAAAATGGACAATAATAATTAATATAACATAAAGCAATTACAACGATGTCTGTAATGATATGATAAAAGTCTAATAGTGGAGGTTAGATTAGATTAAGTATGTCTGGGAAGTGTGTGTGTGTGTGTGTGTGTGTGTGTGTGTGTGTGTGTGTGTGTGTAACAGGTTAGTGTGTGGCAGAAAGAAAAATACTTAATAAGTATTAATGTTACAGTGATGATAAATATATGATGTAATGACAACATCATTCTTATAATATAATGAATATATATAATATAAAGATAATAATCATTATAATACGATATAGATTGCCTTTCTTTCCACCGCTGCATCTAGCGATTACTGATTAATCTGACAGTTTTCTTGGTTAATCAATTATTGTCTATATAATGTCAGAAAATTGTGAGAAATTGCTTGTAAGAAGTTTCCTAAAACCTACA